GCCATCCTCTTTCTCTTGACAATGACCCTAAACTATTAGGTTTACGTCTTTCGCACGATCTTAAGTGGTCTACCCACATTAGTGAACTTGCTTTGTTTTGCAGGCGTATGCTAGGAGCCTTAAATCGAGTATTTCGAGACGCACCACAAGCCATTCGTCTGACTCTTTACAAGACTTGTGTTCTACCCAAAACTGACTATTGCTCAGCAGTTTACGACTCGAACTTTTCCACACATCTTGCTCCACTTGATTCTCTTCAGAAGCTTGCGGCGCGCATTATTACCAGAAACTTCGACTCTGAAACAGACAGTGGTACTCTCCTACCCAGCTAGGACTGCCTGATCTTACAGTGCGTAGGCGCTATTTTCGCCTTGTTTCTTTTTACAAATTATATAACAACCCCTCTCTCCTTAATCGTCAGTTAGAAACACGAGGTCACTTCGCCGTAGCAAGAATTCTCAAGCGATAGAAGTGCCTGTACCACCTACGAGACAGTGCAGTCCTCTTTTTTCTGGAGAACTCCTAAGGACTGGAATCCTCTATCAATGGAGCATATAGTCTCAAAACCGTCTCTCTCTGCTTTTAAAGATGCTCTCAAATTCTTTCTTCAAATGTGAGACTAATGATGTTTTTTGTTTATCAATATTTGTACTGGTTTTCTTGTCTTGCTCTTTTGTTCTTCTCTTTACCATTTTGCTTGTATCTTCTCTCCTTCCTCTATGGACATGTTGACAAAGTTATCTGCCTAGATTCCTAATCAAACGTAGTTTTTATTTTGTTACAAACTTTTGCATTCAATGTTTTTTCTTTCACGTATCCATGGCTATGCCAGAATAAACTGAACTGAACTGAACTGAATGTTTGTATCTGCTACGTTTGTTTGACACGAGGGCATGAGGATGAAAAGGAAAAAAGAAAGCATATTGACTCATCTGGATAAAGAGAATACAGAACAAGAACAACTATTCGGACGATTTCTCTTTTTACTTCATTGCACAAATTATACATAGTCTATAGTCTTCGTATCCGTTAATCACCTCATCCATATTTTCTATATTTCTATATGTATTTTTAACATAAAAATTGGATACTATCGTGGGTGGTAGAGCCTATTCTTGTGTACACATGTAAAAATTTCCTAAAAATCTGTGTTAGCTTTCCACGATTATCAATTTATCAAGCGAACAATAGAGTGATCCTTGTACATGAACAGATAAATTAAAATGTGCTCTTTAGAATCTGGTGATAAGGTCCGTTTTTAATAAGGAGTTCAAAAACATGGCTTACGAAAACTATGGCATCCAGGTTGATTTTTACCTAGAATTAAAAATGCCATAGCTCACTCAATAGATATTAGAATGAACTGAATGCTTCAGGATGTACGGTATTTACTTAATTCTATTTCCTATTAAAAACAATGAAACATTTAATTAAGTCTAAGAGATATCCGAAAGAGATTTTTCTACAGAATTTTGAATAATGAAATAGTTCTACATTATTCTCATTTCATTATTAATTTATCCTGAAGTTTTTTTTCACAAAATACGATAAGACAAATTTCCATGATGATACAGGAGTGTACGGATGGTACAAATCCGAGAAACTGTAAGGTTCAGCTAATTCGAAGTTTGAACACTATTTTATTTTTGAGTTTAAAGCAGATAATCGAATAGAGCAGACGGAGACAAATCCGAATATCACCTTTTTTCCTGGAAAAAACGTTGTCTTCGTGATGAAAATTGCGAAATACTGAAAAATGTCCGAAATGCGGAAAAATCTATGCTTTAGGTGTTTTGTTTGTAGTTTTTTCTAGTTAAAGTTTGGAGTTTTGAAAGTTTTTCTGAATCAGCGTGTCAAACTGCATATAATAACGTATCTTTGAACTTCCCCACATCGTAGTTAGCCTTTGCAAAAAATCCGTTTCTAAGAGAACTCAAAAACGAGACCCTCCACTCAAAACAGCATCAAGTCTCTTGCCTGAAGAGATGAAGCCTTGTTCACACGGCATTCGAACCAGCTTGAAGCGGAGAACAAAATTATAGCTGCAGATTTCTGATTTTTTCCTTTCTTGTTCAGATATTTCGGTTTTCTAGAAAATCAGTTTTTGAGAAACTCTAAAAAATAACCAAAACCTTTTCTTAATGAAGCATTATTGGAGCCCGTAAATTTCTGATTAGAATGAGACATCTCTTATCTCTACATGACCTTTCTTTATAAAGTTAGGGAATTTACAAGAAAAGCTCTAAATTAATTTCTTATTTCTGTAGCTTTGAGCTGACAATGAACATTTAGGATTTTTCTCAGTAGACATCTTAAGGTGGTAAAAAAATATTTTTCTGCAATGTGCTAATATCTGGAAGTATTTTGACCGTCAAACTGAACAAGAACCAAACTTTTTCTGATGTGAAATGGTTCGGTAACAGATTATATAAGAAAAGTGAAAATTTTAATTAAAGCTAATATCAACGCGTTTACAACTTTGTCAATGACTCGAAAAAAGTTGAGCATCCTTGGTTAGCTGGAGAATTTGAGCATCAATTATAACGGGAAGCCCCCTCCCTGATGGATAGGGCCTAATTTTATTCTCAAAATTATCATGTTAACGTATAATATGACGAATTAGTTATCAAATTTAACGTGTTTACATTTCTTTCGAATTCTCAAACTATTTTTTTTACTGTTATCTTTTCCACTGGTGTTATTCTAGTAGTCAATTGTTGTGTTTTAGAAGGTGTTTTAGCCGCTTTTACTCTCTTATGATATGATGTACAAGAATCATCAAATTTTTCTGTTAAGTTTTCTGGATGTAATTTTTCATAATCTCTTAAAAAATTCCATAGTAACATTAATGAATGTTCATTATTTAGATTTTGTTTAGCTAATTGAATAATTTCATGAATAATTGGCATCCAACTTAATTGATAGCGATCCCAAGCAAAACCAAATGTTATTGCTTGTAATAAATTCTGTAATGTTAAACGACGAAATGAAATATCTAAATGCTCTAAATGTGAATGTAATCTATCGTTGAGTACCGTCAATGATACATTAAGTTTATGTTCAATGGTATAGCCCATGTAAGCATCATCTGAAAGACCCGTTTTTACACATTCATTCGGTGTGATGGATTTATTAATGTAAAGTCGTAATTTTTTTAATAATACTTTAGAATAACAAACACCACCACCATACGTAGCAAAACGAAACTTTTGTTTTAGACCATGAATTCCAAGTGGATGTGTACTTGTACGACCAATATAATACGGTATAGAACTATCTAATTCACCTAAATAAGAATATAAATTATCTAAATTAAGATATTGATCATCATCGAATCGACACATCCAATCAAATTGATTATTGTCCTTTGTTACATTATAATAAAATTCAAACTCATTTGCCGTTTTACAACAAAGATCAAATTTATTATGTGTTTGTGGACAATTAGTTAAAATAACATTTGCAAATTTATCGTAGGATGAATTTTTAATATAATGATCAGTTAACAAAAAAATATTTTGTTGATTTTGTTTATCTTTGTAACGTGATATCCAACTTGTAAGTAAATATTTCAGACGCGATTCACAATGATGTGATGTACGAACTATAATAAGTGTTCGCTTAGCTATTGGCGTAGAGTATAGTGAATAAAATGATGAATGATGTTTTTGAATAAATGAATAGGATTTTTCCAAATTGAAAGATATTGTTAATAAGAAAATAATGACAATGAGCCAGCTAATTAATAAATCACGTTTACAATAATAACGAGGTTTACTATATCTTCGGATAAATCTGGACGATATTAAATACATACATAAGACTAATGAATGATAATGTTAATATCAATCTAAAATTAGAAAAACAATAATAATGAATTCAATAAACCACTTTTGATCATATATGATTATCTATTTTAGAGATTTCATTGGAAAATGCTCTATAATATTCGATGTCACATATCTATTCATATCGCTAAAACCAAAAACTTGTTTTTTGCATGAATTTAAGTGAATAACACAAAAAAGAATACAAAAACATAAGTGGCTTAACCCAAACAATGATTACAAATCCGAAATTCTGTATATTCTTCTAGAACTAAATATTTACAAAATTCTGTATCAGTCGAACTAATACAGAATTTTGTAAATATTTAGTTTTAATCAAAAATTTTGTAAATATTTTATTTTAGAAGAATATACAGAATTTCGGATTTGTAACTGTAGTTCGCGTTACGCCACTTATGTTTTTGCACTTTATTTTTTTTTGTGTGAATACGCAAAAAAAACTTTTGCAATTTCTATATAGGTAAACGATGAGAAATCAAAGTGTGGTAAACAAGTGAAAACTCAATCACCCAGCGAAGACGTCAGTCTCTGATACAGAAAGAGACGGTGAAGGAAATTAAATGTTATTGCTGATAAATGAGGAGAATTTTGAAAAACTAGTTCGAAAGATAGTAGATAATAACTCGGCTTTAGAAGAATCGTCACTAGTTGTAGAAGAATTATATTGTACAGAAGCTTGTAAGTCTGTAAGTCTACAGAATCGTGATACTGTTTTAACGCTGACCAAAATCGTTTACTGTTCGAAAAGTCTTTTATAACACTTTTAAATAAACGGTTTTTGTCACTACGAATTGAACTAATCGCGCAATTCCGAATTTTTTTATAGATATTAAACAAACGAGATGGATGGTGTTTTGATTTTCTAATAGCAGCATTTCTTTTGCGTAGAAGATAACGGGTGCGTTAAGAAAAACCGAGCGATCTTTCTTTGACACAATACGAATATTTTTAATAGGAACACACTGCTGAACAATTGTCATAAGATGATCTTACCACAAGGCAAATGCGTGACAGAGGTGGACGATGGACTATCTTTAGCTCCCTTGCGGGAATCCGCTCGAAAACTTCCTGCCTCGTCATCGTCTCATACCTCGCCAAGCTACGATAAATGTACTGCGCGGGGATCGCTCTGTAATCTTTCTGCTCGGTCGCCGCCCCATCCGCCGTCAACTCTTGATAAACGTTTCCTCTGACACTTCCTCATCGATCTTCCTGAGTCCGGAAAATCTCTGCTAACATAAGCTATTCATTGTTTCATCTTGGTTCACAAGAAGAATCATCAACTTATTATAAAAATTGGTCAACATAAACAGAACATCTTTCGCTCACAAGAAAAAATGTCCTTCGCGGGGTTCGCATCGTGAAGTTCCTTTCTCGCTATCACCCCATGCTCCGTCAAACTTTCAAAAGTCTTCCTTGCGGGATCTTCTCCGTAAAGGATTGCGGAACCTCGAGAGGATCCTCATCCATCGCTCACTTCTAATGCATGATTAGTATTGTTGCTTAAACAAAAGACTAGGTCTATAGAATATAATTTTGACGCAACCTAACACATATCTATATTTGCATAGTCATACACTTGACGAAAATCGCATTCAGATTTTACTTTGTATGGAAAAGAACAAGACAAAACGTGATGAGGAGATTGACCTAAAGGACGAAAAATGGACTTACGAGGAAGAGGAAGATTAGAAGAGAAGAACACATTGTTAATAAACGTATTTTTTATTGTAGTTGATACGAAAAAGCACTGGTGAAGTCCAAAATACCTGTTAAAGAATATAAACCTATATGAAATTTGAACTTTGACTTGGTACAATTTTAATTTAGTTCAGTTTAGCTTAAGGAAACCACCTGACGAGACTTTTGAGAGAGGTCGAAACCGGTCGTGGCATCTTCTTTGATTTTTTCAGCTAGTAACTAATAAACGATTGTAAAACTAAACTAAATTAAGAATGTAAACCTAGCCCTTTGGCAACGGGAGATGTATGTATATACGTCCGATCTTCCCACTAGGGAGAAAATTTTCAATGAAATTTTTTTTATTCGAAAACCGAATGTTAAGTATGATATTAGACCCAGTTTTGTCTGCTGATCCCAAATATGTTATTATTTTTGCTTGAAAATATAAGAGAAGTGAAAAGGGCGCAAAAAAAGTGAAATGGCGACCGTCCAGAGGTCAGTGTGTAATCTTTTTGACAAAAGTTTCACATACGCTTTTCGGAATCATAGGTTTCTATGATTATGTTTTCATGATTAGGATGTACATTGAATGCAAATTCTATAGTATAAAGAGCGACCCTTAGTGCCTCACCCTCACTCTTCTACGTATGTTTCAATCGTAGATGCCTTTGATGCGAATTTGAAGTTAAAATGATGCTCCTAGGCTGAGTTGTGAATTTTTTTCACAAAGGAGCTCGAATTTTCAACAAAAAAAACGCGAACTTCGCCCGTAAAATAGCTGTATTTCGCTGACTACTAGCCGCCAACCCACGAAAGTCATATCGTAGATAGAGTAGAGTCGTGGCTGCATTTTAGTAAAAAGAAAAAGTTTGGGTCTTCCTTAAATCAGGAGCTATTGATATTTTACGGAAAAGAGATAAATCACTTATATCACACGAACCATCCAGTAAAAGAGGCCCAAACTTGATGAGTGATCTGCATTCTGTAAGAGCTATGAACACAAAATTAAAAACCCCTAGCCATTATGATTCTTGAATTACAGGAGTGTCGCTACTTTTGCCCATATATGGGCTTCCCGTCACCAAAGAGCTAGTGATGCTATCGGTCTAACTGTACGAATAAAGAATAAATTTCAATATGTTTTCACTCAGAACACATGCGATCGCGATCAAGTGGGCTCTCTCGAAGCTCGAGCAATCTAGCTATCTTCGTTATAGCCACGTCCATCGACTTATCGCGAAAAAAATCAATTTGCAATAACCTCTCTGCTACTGACGGTATTTTCATTTTTTGAATATAGAACTGTCTCATTTTAAATTTAAATGTATTTTCGAGGCAGTCTAGTTCTTTAAAGTAAAAAATTGATGAAAATAAAGTATTATATAGTCACCTATCCATTGAAAAATCTTATTAATGGAATGGAATCAATGAGTTTGTACACAATAATCGTCTCTATTAACCACTAAGTATGAAATTTGTCCAATTAAAAATGGCTGAGAAAAGGTAAAACGAACAAAATTTCGAGGACGCTTTCAATACACCTGCTTTAACTTTGATTATTATAACCTTATCACTCTGAAATGTGGTGATGTTGAAATATTGATGTTACCTAAAGAGGAAAGGTAAATGTTTCTGTTCTGCCATATATTCTCACATCTCGACATAAACTTACTAAGTAATTGATTCAAAATTTCAAGCGATTATTTATCGTTAAATTTGCATATGCTATGTGTATGATTCTTTATTTCTTATTTAAACAACTTTCTTACCTATTTAGATTTTGTTCATTGCACATGTTTTTTTCATTCTATTCATAGAATTTATATATCTTTTTTTCTTCGAAAACAGTCGTTTTCGATTTACTGAAACTTCTAAAATAAACACCATCATGAAAGAAGTCATAATTGACAATAAAGTCTGCTATTGTTTATTCAACACTTTCAGCTCATTTTACATTACCGATATATTTTTTTGATAGAGACTTTCGTTTCTTTTTAACATATCTGTTCTAGCTAAAGTTTGCATGACTGTGATTTCTTGTGTTCTGATTCTTTTCTTTTTCTTCCTTCAGTCGAACAAAGCGATTGTTTATATAGAGCTATATGCTATATAATTCTGATTGGTGTTCATTTTTATGAAAATTTTTTTTATTAATTACTTTAATAATTATTTTAATTATTTTTTAAGTATTTTGAAGACTCTGGTTATTATTTTATCGGGAAAAACAACAAGTAGCTCTAACTGAGCTATTCACTGGCGTATTTTAAAATACATTAAGGGTGTCCTCCGCTCTTTTTTGTGTGTATAGGCGTTACATTCATTTAAGTTTTTCTTTTTTGTAACATCCTAGACACCTAGACACATTTGTGTTAAATAAAACTGATTGATTGACTGATTTCACCTTCTTGGCCCAATCCTCAAAACCCAAATCCTAGATTTCACGTAGAGTTTTTACCAATTTTTTAATATTTCGACAAGGAAAGCTCATCCATAGAAGAACATTGGGAATTTCCATTCAGGTCCGCCCAATTTATACAGACATAAATCCGTAAAAATGTCGACACTCTTTTCATGCAGAGCCCAGCGAATTGCATAAAACTCCCCAACTCTTCCGTGCAAAAGTCATATTCTACATGCCTTTTTAGAGCTGTCAAGTTTCAACCTTCATTGTCGAAACTTGACAACCTTTACTAGAGAGGCTCTCTAATAAAGCAACTTTGACCTTGATTTTCTCTAATTTTACAGAGCATACACCACTGTTGGACATACCACACGAAAGAGCAGCTCGAATAGTACACGTACTGGTATTAAGAACTTATCCTGCTGCTCTCACAAGGGCATGGCAACTGTCACAAAATGGGAAAACGGGATTGAGTATTTTATCTCTTCCGAACGCAAAACAAAACGAAAAGTTCTTTTATTACATATGAAAATGAAGTTGAAGAGCAGCCTAATCTCATGGAAAAAAGAATTAAGTCAATACCTATCTTTTTCTTTGAGTATGGCGTCCTCTTTGAAGACACCATTTCATAAATAGCCAACTTGCGGTCCCTCTAGCTCCAAAAGTCCTCAGTCGAACGTTTCCGTTTGACTCTCATTTGTAGTACTCATCGAGTCCTACAAAATGGCAGCAAAGATTTTTTTGGCCTGCTTCGTTTTTACCCTCGTTTACCTGTTGTCACAAAAGTCAAAAATATCAATTTTCATGTTTTCGCCTACTTTTCACTCTGTTCTTAAATTTCAGTCGAGGCGAAATAGTTGTTAAGTCGTAATCCATCTTATTT